CTCTGCCTTATCTGTAACCATCATGACTTACGAAGGGAAGATGATGAGCAAAACAGATTGCTGGTGTGTTAAAAAAAATCTTCTTAAAACAAAAATAAAGAATGCTTAGTCTGGTGGGGGGCAAGTAAAGCCTGGCGACCCGCCAGGCTTATAATACACTATTAGTTACAGGGGTCACTTTTATGATGCTTTAAAAGAATAACAATTTGAATCAAAATAGCAAGGTAGGCTTACCCAGAAAGTCTCTCTAAAGCTGCTGCTCAGCCTCAAGAGATTCACATAAAGAAAGAAATAAAAAAAAAGATGATTAATGAGCACAGAGGAACCACAGAGGCATGCAGAGAATGGAGACAGATGCAGCATCTCATTATCACTGAGTCATGACCTCATTCTTCTCTCCATTCCTCCTGTGTGTCCTTTACAGCAGAGACTGCTGCAGTGCACACTTCATCACACACACACATGCACACCCCTCACCCCAAAGACACACACATTCTTTTCCACCAGCGTTGGCAACATTGAACTGTCTTGCAGACATAACCAACTACTACTTAAACCAGTACCTTGTCCGTATAAAGTCATTGCCATGACATCAAAAGGCCCAAAACATTTTACAGGTAACACAACGTAGCACATAATGCCTGTAAAAAGGCTTATATTTATCTTTATTGTCAGTAACTTGCTACTGAAAGACTGCGGAGGCTTGTAGTACCAGTGAAAACCCCAGATTCCTGCCATAAATAAGATTTTAAGTTTGAACGGTTTATGTCGTTTTTAGGATTATCAAAAATTAAATATTTATGCTAAATACCAGATTAAGAGATAATAAGAGATTTATTTTGTTGTTCCATTCACTCCCTTTAACAATTTGGTAAGCCGTGGCGGTGATGTTAGGGCAGGGTGGTTCAAAGTGAAATCGGGCACAAGGCAAGCGAGGCGTCGAACAGATCTGTCTTTATTACACCGGTTCTGTCAGGACAGACGGGCCAGAATCCCAGTAAACTATTGTGAAAAGCTTGTGGAACGAAACCCAAAACATTTTGAGGCATACGGCCTATGTGAACTTTTAACATTTGCATCTGAATGCATATTTGAAGCAATGGAGCTTGCTGTAGCTGAATGTTCTGGAGGGAATCATTAGTATCAGAACCAGAATAATTCACAGATCCCTGTTGACGTCAAGGAACTTCCGATCACAGTTATCCGTTCCAGACACGGATCCTAGTCTTAAATGCCAATCTGATTGTCCATTAAAGTTAATAACATCAACAACACATAATGCTTGAACTCTAAAAGCTAAGCTAAGAAAGCTACCATGCTATTCTCTAACACTCTTTCTGATTGTGATGGAAATGAAACATTGAAAAGCTGCAGTTTTGGACTCCATGTTTGTTGTTTCTGCTGCAGATTGTGTCTCTGTGGCGGTTTTGGTGAGTCTTGAAGCATCGCATCCGTGTGACGGTGACACAGCAGCAGGGAAGTAATGAGACAGCCGATTGCTGCGGCTCAGCTTCCTCTTTTGCAGGATGGAAGCGGTCGAGGGTTGATGCTGCTCATCACCCATTGATCATCAGAGTCTGTTATCTGACATGTGGAGGAGCCTCTGCCTTCATTCTGGACTGCTTGTTTGTGTAATCTTACATCTGTTCATGACCTTCAGAGGGTTGTTAAATAAAGAAATTAAAAAAAAATAAAAAAAGTCATCCTCTCACAATAAAATCACAAGCTCCTCAGCTGTTTCCTTTCGGGCTTGAAGAAGCTTGTGATGCGCAGCCGGGTGGCTCCGGGTGAGGAAAAGACTGCGGAGGCTTATAGTTATAATTGCTGTTTTATGTTCTAGTTTAAATGAAGACGCCATGTGCTGAGGCTGCAGGGCGGCAGGGTGATGTTGTGCTGTATCCATGACGACTTTTGGAGTCGGATCAAGAACGAAAAGTGTTCCTGCATAATATATTGACCTCTTCTGTTTGTTTTTTGTTGTTGTTTTTTTTTTTTTTTTTTTTTCAATTGGAGAAAATTGAGTTCAGAGAGCAAATATTCTGAGGAATTCCTGCCTAAGTTATGGAGGGATTACTGAGAAAACTCGGCCCTGGTCTGTGAAACAGGATGTGTCAAAAACACAAGGATAGCTTTTCATTTTTGCTTCCTTCTAATCCAAATTGAATGAAGTCATGAGGGAATATACCAGAAAATCAGCATTAAGTCTGTCACAATTGCTTAATTGCGGCAATTAATTGTTTAATTGTAGCAATTAAGCAACTAATCGCGTAATAGATTAAAATGAGAACTATCATTTCCCTTGTCATTTTTAAAAATATTTTATTTATAGTGACCTCATGATCCATTTTGTTTATGGTTCCAGTTGCAAGTGGTTTTTATTTCCTTTTTCTTTCTTGATTTTGGTTGTCGTGTTTTAGTTTGGATATTTAAAATGTCTTCCAGTTTCAGTTTTAAGTGTTCTTTACAAAATCAAAGTCGATTAGTCTTGGATTATAAAGGCATTATCAATATCTAAAGCGGTCTCAAAACTACCATGTTGTCGTTTATCACAGTAATTACTGGGACAATTTATCTTCCAGCAAAATTTGTTATTGTAAAATGTCAATGTCTCTCTTCTTGTAGAAGAATCGATGATCCTTTTCGAACGGGTTATCCAGATTCAATGCAGTGCTCTCACTGAATGTGACTGGGATTCTTCTAAGCGAATGTGATGAAAAGAGGATGAAACAGGCCTGTGACGCCATCTCAGACTTTTATTTCTTCTTTATTGTCCATAAAAGCAGCTTTGAACCAAAGCCAATAAACTCCTGGTGTTACGGACCTCAGCCGCTGCTTTTAAAATGAGCTGCTTTCGGTGTTAGTTTCCTGGTTCTTGTCTGTTTTGTATTTGTGTAAATAAATGGGAGACCACATTTTGTCTGACGCTCACGCCAGTTGGTCACAAATGTTAGTCATCCACAGATAGACAGAAAAAAGGTTTAAATCACCTACAGTGAGCCATTTTAAGTCAGATATAAAATGCAGCTAAATGAATCTAATTTCCTGTCTCCAAAACGAGTGGAAACAAGCAAAACACAGACATAACTGTGGTGTAAAACTATTAGACATTCAATCTGTTACTATGAATTGAATATTGGTAGCTGACATATGAAGAAAGATGTAAAATGCAATTTAAAATAAAGTAATGGCATCCCAAAAAATGCTTGGTTGGTTGAATGTAGGAACACACACACACACACACACACACACACACTAGCTGATGTTTGCAGTGTTTCCATGTTGACGCCGTACAGTCTACATGGAAACAAAGACAGACCAGTTTCTTTACGAGCGATTTGCATGTTTACACCCAAAATAACTTTCTTGCTCCAAAGAGTGCAGTAACAAACAAAGTGGAAGTCCAAAGGTTAAAGGTTAAATCAATGGTCACATCTGCAGGGTTAGTGCCAACTTTGCATGATTTTGTAAATTATGATAATTTAATGCAAAGTTGGCATTTTTAATGGACTTTCAATGCAACTTTTAGAGCAACTTTGCATTAAAAGTGTCATTATTTACCGAATGAAACTTGATGACAACTGTCATAAACATTCATAAAGACTTCTGTATGTTCATGACAGGCGTTATGTCATGTTTATGACAGTGTCATGTCTGTCTTATTCACACCCCTTCAAATGCAGTGTTACCCATTTTTGTTTTATTTGGTACATATTTTTTGAATACATACCACGTTTCCTTGAAAAAAATGGCATCACAGTTTGTTACTTGCATCACTATTGTCATATTGAACATGTATAATTTACGTTTAACCTTATGAACCAGACAGCTGACATTGCTCCTGGTTGTTTAATCGCTGATCTTTTCTGTGAGTTTTGTCTCAGGGACTGGTTTTGCATTTCCTGCCTCGGGCCGTGTAAATTTCTTGCGTGTGTGTGTGAAAGAGGGGGAGAGAGAAACTCACCGTCAGGGTGCTGTAGGCGTGTCAGAAACATCATGTGTTATTAGTATCCTGCCTTCCATTTGCAGGAGCAGCAACACTCAGCATTTTTATTACGGGTGTGGCACGTGAAAGTATTATCTCGGTTGTAGGCACGTTGTCAACACACGCATGCATGGACTCGGCTGCCACATGTTTCAGGTGTTAATCACTGACAGTATCCTTTGAATTTTTCCGTTCTCTCAGGGCTTCTGACTCTAAAGTCAGCAGTAAAATTTCCGGCACCCACATTAAGCAGGATTAAAACTAGACCCAAGTTTATCAGCTCAAAGAGAAACTATATCGTGCCTGTTGTTGCTGAGGATAACGACCGTTCACGAAGATCAATATCTGTCAGCTGTCAAAGGAAATTTGAGATTTTCCTTCATTTTTCTGGAATTGCTGTATGTAAGGTGGGCAGAAACATGTTAAAATGCTCTAGTTTCTTTCTTTCAAACAATATATAAGGAGAACAACTTTTTTTATGATTCATTGCTCTCACCTGCAGACTAAAAAATATACAAAAATTGTATATCAAAAACACAATATTTAGTTTTTTCCAATTTTATTTTTCACTTTCTGTTTGCTTTATTTACCATTTTATTTATTTATTTTTATTTTTTTATGTTTCCGGACCAGCAGTGTGGCACTCAGGCCTCACCTTGACACTCAGAAAGCAATTCTAACAGCTTTGCTTTCACAAGCGGAGCATTGCGGTTTTGGCCATGATGCTGCACTGGAAACTTTATTAGAAATGACTTTGGGTTTATTTCAAATGTAAAGGTCATGGAGATTTAAAAAAAAAAAGAAGAAAGGAAAGGAAAAGGTGGGGAAAAGTTGTAAAGGGAAAGAATGAGATAGAGGTCTGATAGAAGTCTGCCTCTAGACCTGCAGAAAGAAAAATTTTTATAAAACTAAGAAACTACAACAAGAAGCAACATATGCATATATAGTAACAGTTATAACATCATTGGAAAGCACACGAACTGTGCCTCTTCTCATCACGTCTCTGCTCCCTGTTCAGCTCTCCTGACTCTCCATGGTGAAGTGGGCTGAGTCTGATGTCAGCCCCACCTCTTGTTGACCCCCCCGCCATGCCCACCATGGTTTCCAGGCTGCCGAAGTTCGGCTTCCGGCCCCGGTCCCAGACGGCTCCTGCAGCGGCGGCTCCGCCTGGCGGAGCTGCGGCCGCCACGGGCAGAACTCGCCTCACCAATGGATTCTACCACCACCCCGGACCGGCGGGCATCTCCGTGCCCCCGTCTTCTGCAAAGCAGAACGGATTCATCCGAGTGCCGTGTTCGTTTTCCGCAAAGTGGAGGAAGGAAAACGCAGCTGACGGTGACGAGATAATGGACGGAGAGGCTGAGTGCAAGAGAGGGAAAGATGGGAACGTCGTCCAGAATCGCAGCAACTCCCAGCTGTATTTCTACCAGCACGACGCCAGAAAACACACCACATCCACCGCAGCAAAAGGGCGTGGCCAGCTTACATCATACTCCTCATCATCATCATCCCCGTCTCCACAGTCCAGCCCCAGACCTCTTCCTGTTTCTAAAAATGGATCACGAGGTTCCAAACTGACTCCAAACTCTTCTGTACTGTCCAAGCAGAGCGTAAATACATGTCCAGGATCCAAAGCAGGGACAAAGGCGATCGCTTCTCTGAGACCGCCTCAGAGTTTTGTCCGCCTGGGTACAAGGCCCAGTTCGGGCCCTGCGTCTCGATCGGGTTCTCCGCTCCTTAAGAAGCCGGCAGCTAGCCGCTCCCATTCCAGCGACAACCTGGGTTGCGCCGCTTCCGCGCGGCTGACTGAAAGCGACCGATTCCGCTCCCGGAGCCTCACCCAGGTCCGACAGCAGGCCTCTCCCACCCTCACCCGGACCGCCGCCTCTCCCCACACATCCCGCCCCTTCTCCACCAACAGGGCCGCCCAACGGGTTCCCCCTGCCTCCGCCTCACAGGCTCCTCCTAGAGGCACCTTGTTGAAATCGCCTGTGAGCAGAGCCACTTCAGGCAGGGCAGTTGGCGGCGCCCCCTCCCAGCTGCCGCAGTCAGCCCTAAGGAAGCCCCTCTTACCGAGTCCGACCTCCAGGTCCAGCGGCATCAGCTACAAGCTGTCCCGCCCGTCCCTCGTCAAGCAGTCCAGACCCCTTCGAGCAAAAGGAACCAACGTTTGCAGAAGTGATCAGGAAGTAAACAGAGGACCAACGAGACGTAAGGACTCTGTGGAGACGCCTTCATCTACCGAAAACAGTCCAGGTTCACCTTCTTCTTTTATCCTTTTTTTTTTTTTTTTCTTAAAATCGATTGTCATTTTTAGATTTGAAGACTCTGATCTCATTCTGGTCTGGTTTCATCTCTGTATCTGATCTGCCTGCAGAAAACTCTCCAGATGCTCCGGAGATGGAGCAGCTTTCTGACGACCTTGCGTCCCAGGGAGTGGGATCGATTGTCGGTGAGACGCTTGAGGACATGTCCCTGTCCTCCACTTCCTCCCTGGACAGGAATGACATCAGCCAGGAATACATGGATGACTTTGACAACCTCGGTGAGACACTCTTTCTCTTTCTTACTTTATTCAATGTCACATGCTGTTTTTATTTTAATTATGTAAAGCACCTTGAAATGCCTTGCTGCTGAAATGTGCTATGCAAATGAAATTTGATTGATTGATTGATGTTTTGCTGTAAATATTAGCATAGAAGCTACATAACAAAGAAAATGCGTTGGTCGGTGATGCGTTTATGTGAATAATGTGGCATTACATGAAAAATCCTCTGTGTTCAAAATCAGAACTAGACTCTGTGTGACCGATCTCCGTTACGTTTTGCATTTTAATACGTTCTCTTCTTTTTTTTGTTGTTGTTGTCAGGAAACGGAGGAGTTGGCATCTTACTGTTTTCATCCAAAAACGAGGAGGATGACTCGGGACTCGACCAGTCATGCACCAGGCTGGATGACGACAAGGACGCGATTAGCACGGTCGCCAAGACAACAGGACTGTGCTTCCTGGATGATAGTCTGGACTGGACTTCCATCAGAGGTGATTTTTTTTTTTTAAAGTTGCTGTTAAGGTCAGCTAAATACTTTAACTATTCCAACTGAAAGAAAAGTTGTTTTTGTGTCCAGGTGATAAAGACGAGCACCGACTTAACCAACTTGCCCGTCGGAGAAAGTCAAGTCAGCCTGACTATCATGAACAGGTAACGGGTTTAAACCAGTTAGACAAAACTTTAAACAATACTTCTTTTCCTATTTTGTTTTGATTAAAATATATGGGTGAAAAATAGTCAAAAGGTGCTTAAACTCAGATTAACTATACTATTAGAGATCATCGGTCCATTAATCTATCTGGTCCACTTACTGAACCAGATCAATGTGACGGCTCCTGCAGAGGTTTTCCTGTCCTAAGATCCAAAACTTTTTTTTCTTTAGCTCTTTCCTCAAAGTAACCCAAAAATGTCAATTTTAAGGCCTCATATAAATTTAAATGTATTGATCCAAGCACACAAACCTGTAGTATTTCTAACTTCTTTGCTGATGAATGGCTGTGAGTTAACATTCTGGAGCAGAGGTTGCCAGATTGTTCAGCTTTATCTAATCCTGTTTCCACAGCTGTAAATTCAGAGTAGAGTTCTATACATCGAGTGTTTTTATCTAACTTTATCTTCTAAAAAAAACAACATAAATTGAAATTGCCTTACGCTTTTAGGTCATATTTCAAAATAACCTTTTATTTTAGCCATTATAAGATCCTAGAATTAAACTGTAATGTGTTTGTTTCCTCGCCGTTACCTGAGTACGCCTCAGCTTATTGGTTTACCTCGAAATTTATAAAAATGTTGAATTCCTGTTTGATGTCCAGGTCAAGATATCTTGACCCCAACTGAAGCCGTTTTCCTGAAATAAAGCATTACAAGTTGAAAATGTGCAGTGAGATAACTCAAGATCTTTCTCCAGATTTTCATCTAGGAAAAAAAACTTACGTATTCACATTATACAGCTCTGAATAATTAATCCAAAACAAACACGGCTTTTTGTTACTCTCTGTAGATGCTGCAGGTGCAGTTTGACCCCACCCAAAGCAAAGATAGGTGAACTCATCAGTTCATTGTTTGGAAGCTTAAACACTCCCATCAGCAAGCTGCGGCTTTGCAACTGTCCCACCAAGTTCATTGGACATCTGGACCGAAAATGCTTCATGTGGTTCCTGCTTTGAGTTCTTTTCAAACATGAGTGGAGCAGAATCACAGGAACAATCGTTTTCTGTTCACAAAAGCCTATTTCAGCAAACGTTTCAATTCTTAACCTGTAGAAATGATTTGTCTCAGAGCTGGACGTGACGTTGTCCCACACAGCTGTTAGCTTGTACTTAAGAAGTTCGGTGTGAGAGGAGATGTTGTGCGGCCTTAATGTGATGTAACAGCAATGGCAGAAAACCTTAGGGTAGTGATTCAGCTGGTGGTCGAACAAATGCTTTACATTTAAATTTTATTTCTACTCTAGCTCTGTTTAGTGCACCTTAGCCAAACTCTAGTTTGTGTGTCTAGAAAGTCCAGTTCATTTGCAGAGATGTGAATGCACAATTTAAACAATGATGCAGACCAAAAAAAAAGCAAACTCTGGTCCGCCTGAAAACCTAGGTCTCGGTTCGGTTGAAGTCAGCTGTGGCGCGGTTTGAATGCAAATATGGGTGTAGGCAGACAAGAGATCGCTTCAAAAGCAGGAAGCGATCTATAGCGCAGGGCATTGTAAAGCTACAACCAAAACAAACTCGAGAGTCTAAAGCCAGCGGGAGAAATGGCTTGTGGTCAAAACAATGAGGGTGTAATTGTCCACAGCAAGAAAATCAGGAACACTAGATTAGAATTTGCCACAAAGGTTTAGAAATAAGTCTCAAAAAGAAAAAAAAAAGAAAAAAAAGAAACATTTCGGTCAAATATTAAAAGACTGACGAGACAAAGATAGGACCTCACGCAATGCGATTGAGTGTTTTTGCAGAAAGAAATAATCTGCTCTTGGAGAAAAACTCACAAAAAAAAGAATAAAGAGCATTTCTAGAATATACCTTAGACTGTCGTCAGTTCAAATCGAAATCATCCTGAGGTTTTCCGTTTCGCAGGGTGGCTCCTCTCTGGACCTGTCCCCCTCTGACAGCTGTGGCTCTGGGGGGACCTACATGTGGGACGAGGAAGGTCTGGAGCCTCTGGGGGGCGTCACCACTACTGCTTCCATCCACACCAACAGCAACACCACCCACCACATCGGGAGCTTCGACTCGGACATCAACAGCATCGTAAGGAGTCTAGACCTCATCGTTTACTCAGCTGACAGTTATTTGTTCTTGCTGTAACCAGAGGGGGAGATCGGTTTATTACTCCTCACAAACAGCTAAAGGTTTCTAGCAAAATATTAGAGCTGTTCCAGACTCTAGGGGTTGGAACTGTACATATGTGGCAGCATAACTCCACAGTTCAGTCAGGGGAATGCATTTATAAGATTATTGGACTGATATTCCATATTTCCCCTGGAGATTGTTCCTTTGCAGGTGTATTTTCACAAAATCAATCCACTTTTAAGAACCCCCTCCCCCCTCCTGCCAATAAAGGACTTCTCTGCTTCACAGGACCCAGAAACCAGAAGCCAAATATGAAAATTTCATATCAGGCTGATGTTATTGCTTTAGATTTCACATAAGAACCATAATCTATTGAAGGTGCAGCTTGGATGGACCTTTAAGCATCAATAAAATTTGTAGCACTGTTTGAAAAAGTCTAAACAACGTTCTCTGGCGCCCTCTGATGTCCCCTTCTGCTAAGTACAACCCAACCAGATTCAGGTTTTTTTTTCTTATTCTTTTGCAGCATACAAAGCTAAGTTCTTACTGGTATACATTTTTTAAAATGTATTCAAAACACAATATCATTTCTGGAGGACCAGAACCTCTCAAACTTACATCTTTTTCCCTGATCAAATAAGCAGTTTGAGCAGATTAATGTCACAGCTGAGAAAATTAATCAGCTCTGCGTTTCGTCTAATTTCATAATTATTCACCCGACATTGACTCTTTGCTGCTTTTGCGGTTTCTGTGAGATAAGCATTTGGATCCGATAAACGAAGCGCGGAGGTTTCAGATAAGCTGAAGGAGGATCAGCAGGCTTAGGCCCGGGCTCCGACCTTCAGTTCAGTTCAGCCGGTGGACTCAGTGAGTGATGCAGAGAGGCTGTTAATGGGCCTGCTGTCTCAGTGTGTCCTCTGTGTTAATGAGCTGTGGCTCGCTCAGTGCTTGATCCTAACGAGCGCGGGCCGTTAACGATCTGAGGACTTTAACGAGCTCTCGGCTGAAGGCTGAAGTCTTTCTCCTGTTTGAATTTACACCTGTGTTTGTCTGTCGTCACCACCAGGAGTCAGTGTTGCTCTTCGGGGTTGTTCTCTTACCAATTTCTGGTTGAGTATGGGGGAGAAAAAAGCAAAACTGAATCTGAAACAATTTTTGAATTTCGAGACTTTGTTGCTAAGTTCATTTGCAGAAGATAACATTTAGAATTTTGTGAAAAACAGATGGCTTATTAAAACGATTTACATGATTTTTAATCATATGATGTCTTTGACATGCGGATTTTGTCCAACTCTCTTTCTCGTTTTGGGTTATAAGTCACTGATTGAACTTGGATGTATTCACAACTAATTCAAATTCCCAAAAAGTACAACTATACTATCTTTAAACTTGATCAGAAGTTCCCAAACTAACTCCAGTTTAGATGGCACAAAGGCATTAAAGAAGCATAAAAAAATAAGGAAGGGATCAAACTTCACACAATGAGATTTAAAAGAATTGTCTGTATGATAAGAAATTCTGGATTTTTCTAATCATAATTATCCAAATAAATCCTTCTGAAATTCCACACTTTTCTGGAAAACGATGTCGACATCAGAAAGAAAAAAAAAAACAAGAATTTTTCATGGAACCATTAAAAATGTGACGGAGAATACACCCGAGGTGATTTGTTTTTTTAAAAATCATCTTTAATGTCATTTTTAATGTCACAAATATCCGATAGACTGTAGCTGGAATGGACTCAAATAATGTCCAATATCAGTTTTCCTTGTTTTTCTTTTCTAAAACTTGATGTTTGATGCTTTCAGTCTATCCAAACATTTCCCTAAAGATGTACTTTTACACAGGATCTCTTAAACAACCTGGACTCTTGTGATCTGGGTGACGATGACCTCATGCTGGACGTAGATTTCCCAGAGGACTCCTCGCTGCATAGCGGTATGTTTATGTAGAGTCCGATAAAGAAACACGTTTGCTGCTGTCCTCTCTGAGGAAGAGAATCCTCATGAGGATGTGTAAGGACATTTGGTGTCACTTCCTGCTTTGCATCTGCTGAAAATGACCTTGAGAAACTGAACCTTGCAGATGGAGAGGGGCTGTCCAGCATGGCTCAGTGGAGAAGAAGACAGCTCTGTTGGGGAACGCAGGACAACGACATGGAGAGGTGAGAAGACAACTGGTTTATTATCTAAGGCTGTTTATAGTTAAATCAAACCATCTTACGATTTCTAGCATATGATAGAGCTACAGTAGTGGTGCATTCAGGAAAAATGATCCCTTTATGAGTTTTCCTCCCACTGGCAGATGTGTCTCTGTTGCAATTATAGCTCCGAATTGCGAAAGTAAATTTTCTTAATTGAATCGAGTCCAATTTTGGGGGCGGGGGTGGAAAAATGTTTTTCAGTAAAAGGTTTTTGTGCTAGGATGAAGTTGTTTTCCAAATTGATTTCACAAAACAGGAGTGGAAAACCTTTTTTCTTGCATCATACAAGTCATGTGACCAACCACCTGGATGTTGTACTAGTTGTAGGAGGAGGATGGCATTTAATGACTTATCGCATGATAAGGGTTCAACATTTGCAGAATATCAACAGTGTTATTCATTTCTGATTGTAATGAAAATGCAGCTAATTTCACTTTGACTGAAATTGATGGTGGGAGCTGGCCTTGCAGGGGCAGTAGCCCAGGGCTCCAGTTGTTGGGGGCATCAAAAACTTTTTATTTTCTTGTAAGTGAATGAGCGTTTTGAAATAATTTAATTTTGTATAAAACTCATGGTGGTTGTATTATTTTAGGATTTTTATGAGTATAAACAATATTCTAGTAAAACCAGTTCTTTGTACAGAACATTACTATTTATTGTCAAGAGGAAGTATTAAACTTACAATGCATCAGTTCATATCTGCTGACGTAAAGGGCTACCTGTTAACAAACTGTAATTTGCATTAGAAAAATTATTGTTTCTTAGTTTACTGGGCACCAAAACAGGCTCCAGCCCAGGGCGCCACATCTGGCCGTGGGTGGGTGGGAGGATGAGGGAAGGTGTTTTCAGATGAGGCAGAAAAATGGCAGAACTTTCTGGAAGATGTGGAGATTTAACCTCTTTTTTTCTGTGGATGGGGAAAAAATAGGAAAATCTTACAGCGCACAGCTTGATGAGGTGAACTCTGCTCATGTTTAAATATTCTCAGTATGTGAAGGCTGCTTGAGCTTTCAGCACATCGACACCACTGGTTAGACTCGAGGCCAATTTCCACCTTTGGAGCGCTTTCAGAGCCGTATAAACACCACTACAGATATCTAAGGCTTCTGCAGACCTTGACGATGAGTTAAGAAGTCGATGTGGGTGGATTTTTTTTTTTAAACTGAATTCATGCTGGGAATCTTAATTTTTTTGTGTGTTTTTTTTTTTTTTTTTTACTTCTCTAACTCTGAATCTGTCATATGGTCGGTCCACAGTGATATCCAGTGCTACAAACTCTCTCAGGACCCTGAGACAAAGGAGGATAAAATCAGGTAGCGTGCTCTGCCAGTCTTTCTTTCCTCCATCCTCTTAAAATCACAGCTTCCCTTTGCATTTTCTGCCTGCTTCTGTAAACATTGGTTAAAACTCTGCAGGTCGGCCTGTTGCTCTCCAGCTCCTCAGGCTCTGGGTCTGGATGTGGAGGAACTCGCTGAGGACTGCTCTGCAGTCCGGTCACAGCTGGAGTTCCTGCAGAGGTTGCTGCTGCAGGTGAAAGGGAACGCTCTTCCTCACCAACAGTTTGTCTAAACAGACGTGAAACTTAGAAGTCTGCAGCAAACGTCAGATCATCCATTGTTTATTTTCCAAGCATGGTTTAAAAAAACTTTACATTTGGCTGCTGGAGCCTTGATGGCAGGCTCCAGAAGAAATTGAGAGTTTATATATTAAATATGAGTCATCAAAATATTGAATGAATCAAGACATCTATAAGCCTAATCTTGTTTCTAATTTAACCATGTCTTTATGTATTAAATATGTTTATTTCCACTCTTTTTTTCTTTCTTTTTTTTTTTTTCTTCTTTAGGAGGAGGATTTGGACGACGACACTCTGACCACAGACACACTAAGTCCAGAAACAAACGACTTGTCTCACAGTTCAGACTCGCAGGTCAGCAAGTTCAGCCTTGTTAGTCTTCTGTGTTAGCCTACATTTCCCATAATCCCTCGGCTCAACATTCCACCTGTCTGTAGGTGGAGGCGCTCCTTCAGGAGGTGCAGCAGCTCCGGGAGGAACTGAGGAGCCGAGACCGGACCATCGCACAGCTAACCATGCAACTGGTGAGTTTGATGCTGCTGCAGCTTCAGTTTTCTCAGTTTTAGTTAAAAAAAAGGGATTAAAAAAAGCCCGTCACAGCCTTGAGAACTTTAGACATTAATAAATATTAAATATTTTAGTCACTGTCTACTTGTGTACGACTGAAGATTGTGTGCGTGTGCAGACTGTTCCCACGCTGACCACCAGGTGTCGCTGTCAGGAGGCGTCTGGAAGGATGGAGCAGCAAACGCAGACAAGTGTGACAAAGAGCGAGTGTGTGGCCTCGCAGACACCGTGGAGAGAACACACTGTGAGAACACACACTGACACACATGCACACACACATACTTGAACACTTTCATTATGAATTAAATCGAGGCTGATCCACAAACAGAACCTATAATTTAGAAATTTTCTTGCCGTCGGTTGCACCATCTCCGACTCTGATTCATGAATTTCTGATTGTATTTCTTTTTTTTTTTTTTTTTTTTTACAAACTGTGCAGGCAGAAAGCGGCTTTTATTCTCCTCACTCTGAAATCTCACTTCCATTACCTGCGGCTATTTTTACTCCACGTTCTTTTTTGTTCCTCGTTTCACTTATTAGCTTTAAATCCTTTTATTTAAGGGGAAACTTTCTGAGAGGGCTACCTTCTTTTTTTTTTTTTTTCTCCTCGTCCCTCATCTATCCTGTCGTCTTTTCTCCATGTGGAGTATCAGCATCTTCTCCATCTCTCTTTGTCCCCGTCTCCGTCTCAGGTGTTTCCTCCTGTCCCTTTCCTCTCTCCACCCTGGCAGTATCAGCGCTCCAGGCCTATCAGGGGGAGGCCCAAGCCAAGCATCCCCTCCCACCTTGCTAGAAAGAGTGAGTCACAAAACTGTCAAGACTCCTTCACCAGACGTTCACTAATTAGCCTTTACTGTTTTAAAAATGAACAGAAAATTTTGAAAAACTACTCATGAATGCAACAGTTTTGACAGAAATAGCCGAATCTACTTGGAGGAAGTTCTTGCTATCGCTTTCAAACCTTTGAAGCTCCTGTCTGAGCAGGATGCAGTTCAGGTTTGCCTGAACCGATCCATTGATGTTCTAGGATTAATCTGCTCTACCGGCTCCGTCTCTGAATCATCTGTTCGAAACACATTTCCCCCCAAATCAAAGAGATTCTCCTAACTCACCCATTGGGATATTTATCAGCAAGCCTGACTGCAAACTGACCTCAGACATGAGTTTACTGAAATTCAGCTTTCTCAATGCTTTCCATCCAGGTTTCCTTCCAAGCAGCCAGGGCTTCTGTGCCCTCCTGATCAATAGTTCTCCAAGGCTTTTTGAAGGTATTTCAAAGTACGTTTGCACATTTTGTTCCTCAATAACTCGACGCGACTAAACGAGTTGAGGTTACATCCCCAAACAAATGAGCATGTCTTCCAAGTAAAGGAAACCTTGTCAAGACCCAGGAGAGAAGCGTCAACGTTTGGAGTTTTCACCTCTTTGGAAATCCCCTCGTTGCAGCTAAGATCCTTCTTTTTCTCTGTCATCTATGACAATTTGCAGAGATTTGACAAGAGAAGTAGGATTCAGTTTTGACCTCCGTGACATTCGGCTCAAAACAATTTCTCTGAAAATTCGGTTTACACTAAATTGTCCTTGTCAACAAAACCCCGGCTCATTAAGTGCCTGAATGAGAAATAGAAGGCTTAACAAACAAAGAACATACTCTTCTGAAAATGGACAAATCCTAGACTGAGAGTGAATGAAAAATGAAAGTGCAAATAAACTGAAAGACCTTCAGAAATTCTGGGAGGATTGTTGGTCCCGACCTCTTTAACAAAGGAAATCTTCCTTGTGCTTTAAACTGCAATGAAAACTGACTATTTTTAGCTTTTTTTCCCTCTAACCTTTCCTCCTCCTCTCCTCTCTGTGTCTCTTCTCCATGCTTTCGCTCAGGAGTGGAAAATCTTGTGCTTTACTTCAGTGACAAAGCTTGGTACGGTAGCAACTTTCCTTTGTCTTGCAGTCAAACCTTCTCCGTCTCCTCATTTTCAGTTTTCTCCCCTCCATTTTCCCACTGTGATTCCCACAAAGCAAGCTATCTGTGAGGACTGTGTAATCTGAGCTGGTGCTGTAAATCACAACTGGAGAAAGTTAGTCACACTCCGAACTGATGTAGTCGTTGATGGTAAAATACAGATTAACGTTCATTGATAATACTGCCACCTGGAGGCCAGTTGCTGAGCAGCTGAAGATTGTGGAAATTGTAGTTTAACACCAGAGTGTCTGCGCATCCTTTAAAATTCTTAAATTTATGTCTCTAAAATTAAAGCCTTAAATTTATTAAGAAAATGTAAGTTGGCCTTGTTTACGGTTTGTTGTGGTGGGACTATTTAATGTTGCAAGTAAACATCGTCATTGCTTTGCAGATGAGGTTCCCGGTTACTAGCTGGTATTATATCCTTGCTAAAGAGCTAGCTTTCCAGCTTTTCTGACTGCATCATGGGATCCAAGCTGAGTTCACAGGTTTTGCTATGCCTCACTGTAATACACAATTTCTCAGCCATCCAATATATTTATTTTTTTTTTCTGTATTGAATTTCAAAAGGTCTTAAAAGGACTTATAGTTGCTGAAAGCTGCAGATAACACATGGTTGTCTCTCTGCAAATGATTGCTTCACATCAGACAAAACCCTTAAGTCCTCTCAAGCTGCTGTGCAGATTAATTTAAATATTGTGGGCATTTCAGCCGTTTCTCAGAAAGCTCTGAGTTTTTGTTTCAAAGCGTTTCTGAGAAGGCAATCGTGTCAACCCCTTGAGCTGATCGAAGCGTTAACAACATAGGAACTGGCTAAGGCGGTCTTATCCACCTCTGTAAAGTAATATTGCAGCAGTTCGGAAATCCCAAACCTTCTCAAGAAACCCAACTCCGGCACTCGCACACCATCTGTTCTCAGATAACCCAACTTTTATCATTTGAATTTTAATACCACTACTTCTATTTTCTGACTTGAACAAATCCATTGCCCCATTATTCCAAGCTCAGACTTAGGAGTAGGAATGCATATCTTTGGGATCGATCTTGAAGGGTGGTCCTCAAGAGGATGAATTCTTTTCCGATGGAAGTTTAGCAACAATAGAACAAACTTTAGTCTCGTCCATGTCAAGATAAAACAAGTTGTCAGGATGATCCCGTTTCCTGTCCATCCGTCAAAGTCCAAAAGGGCTCCAATCAATGAAATTACACTCCAAGTATGAGAGCGAAGAATTCACACAGTCAGGATAAGTGGTCTCATTACAACAAGACTATGGATCTTTCCACTTTGCCTGTCTAAGGGTGCATTGACCGGCCCTCTGTTCCTGGATTTGAGTATCTCTGCTCTGCAGCTCGTCTTGTCAGCGGTCCCAAGTTAGGCTGAACATGCAAACACTCCAGTGAGTTCCAGGTCTGCTCTCCTGTTGGTTCAAACCGGATCAAACCAACCGGTTTGAACTAAGGTTCAGCTGACATACGAATGTCCTCCCGTTTGGTTCTCTAATGAAAAACAGATGAGTTCATGGTCTACTCTAATGAAGCATTGCAAATTAGTATGAGACGTTCCAGAAGCGTTCCTCTTTCATCCAGACATAACTTGGCAATTCTTAGTGGTGCAGTCACACTTGCTTTTGGAAAGAAGACGCGTTATCCTTCAACTCTTCCAATAACTCTTCCTTTTCTAACTGTCCTGTCATGAACTTCAACGTTTAACATGCTGACTGCATTGTGTCGAGTCTGAGATGGAGTTTCTGAGCTTTTGTCTTTTCTCTGAGCTAAACTGAGATTTAAGTTATTGAACTTCTCACCCTTGTAAGGTAAAAATAAGCACCTTATCCTTCCAACAGGCATTTTATTCACAGTAAAACCCAGCCTGTCTCGGTTGCTCTTTGTCCCGTGTCACTGTTGACCAAAGAAGCCCGTAGCAGTACATGCAGTAATTGCCCAATAATCAGCCTTATTCACTTCATTTGTGAGTGCCCTGTGTTTCTCCTCATCTGCGTGTTAACCATATTTCTGCAGAGCTCCATTACAGTCCTAATAATTTCCAGGGTAATTGAGGAGTTTGACAGCAGCTCGTTGCCTGCAGCTCAGCTCGACAAGCTCATGTTTACCCATTATTGTAACGATTCTAATTGTTGATTTTAGTGATATGATGCGATGTGGCGAGATATTATAGCCCTGATGGGCCCCAGGGGGGCTCATAAGAGGGCAGTTTGGGAGGTTCAGCACTTTATGTTAGTATCTCCTCAGAACACTTAGAGGGTTGGAAAGGGTTGGCAGCAGAAAGAGAAGAAAGAAAATAAGAGAAAATAGGAGAGTGCTCTTCATTTGTCATCACCATTCTCTGTAAGGTATCTCGTCATTTCTGTGAATTTTCTTGTGATTTTGAGTTTACATTCTGTCCTTTTTATTCACTCTGGCTGCTCATGCATGTTTTATGAGGTTGGATTGAAACGTCTCAGTCGGAAATGCGGATACCAACAGGCTGCAGTTCCTTTTCTAGCCACCAGATGTCGGTGTTTACCAGTTAATGTTTAGTTTCTTACCCTGAACTGCTGATATCATCCAGGAGTTTGTTTGTTTTTTCCAGCAAATATGTCTAAACTGTGTTTCTCCAAAATATGTCTTCATAACTACTTTAGACTGAAATTACATAACTGAAAACCACAGTTTTCTCTAATTTTCCACTACAAACTTTTGGAAAGTCTGGAAAGGTTGAAAGGTTGTTTTTTTCCCCCCAAATTATTGACATATATCTGTCTGTCTAAATGCCCATTCCTTAAACAAATTTAAACATCAGAAGTGGATAAAAGGTTAGAAAGCTGGAAATGTAATCAGCTTTGTCTTCGTTTTCCAATTTTTAGATAATAAACAGTTTGAGGATTCACCGACGGCAATCAATCATGAATATATTATAGTGTGAAAGTAAAAATGGATTTCTTAAAGTAAAGTGACTAAAGTAGAGGACACACATCACTAGTTAAGCAAGATATTACGGCTGGACGATATTCCTGAAAACTGTATCGCCACATAAGAATTTCATATCAGTCTATTGATAATTATTGATCAGCTTTTTAACTGACTAAAAGTGTGACCTTTCTTCTTTTAGTCACAATTTTCACTCCATGCTGTTTTTATTATTATTATTATTATTATTAAGCTGTTATGAGGCACAGTGGCAAAACCTGAAACTGCTGCTGCGCATGTTACTCAACAAGTTGTCGTTGGGTAACCACAGAGCGAGAGAGTGAGCTGATGCTCACCGTGAGAGGTTGAGGAGATAAAGACTTTCCTCTGCCTACATTTCCCAGAATGCTGTGAGGCTCTGGATCGGAGTTCGATGAATATTCTATATGTTGAACCTTTTATCAGTCGTACTATCTGTTGCTGTCGATCATGTTTCTATTATTTTATATATTGTTATTGATTTATTGCCCCGCCCCATAAGACATAAAACAAACATTTCCCCCGAAACGATGCACGAACGTACAGAAAATAGGTAAAGTTAGCCTGATAATTCAGTCGCAGCAGGGTACACGCTTTTGTTACTATCATCAGTTAAAGCTGTGCTCAGTTCGGCAAAAACACTTACAGGTGAAAACGGCTTGTTTCTGTTCTGAGCTCTCCGAAAAATGACATCACGCACGAATGTGATCATTTTAAACAGCTTTTTTTTTTTTTTTCAATGATTTTCGTGACAGCTTGACACAAGTCCCCTAGCTCTGAACAACAAGCACTTAAGTCATTTGCTTTTCCACTCAATAACCACAGAGAGGGCTGCCATGAGCTGTGAGAGGAAAAGTAATCAGCAACTACAACAGGAAGCAAGCAAAACCAACAAGTAAATTTAAATAACGTTGTAACGGTGTTGTAATCAAGCCGTATACACACACACACACACACACACACAAACAGATGAAAGCGAACACGCAGATGAATCGAAGCGGTTTGACTCTCGGATCAAAGTGTGGATGTGTGAAACGATTGTCCACCTGACAGAACAGCTCGCTCCGTCTCTTCTCAGCTCCAACACCTGATAAATTATGCAACAAAGAGCTGGAGGTTTATGTTGTTGCAAAACCTGTCCAGAACCAAGCTTTTATGTTAGTCGAAAATCAGAGCCAGGTGTGTGTCCGTTAGCTGATGAAGACCTAAAATGTGTTTTTTTTTTTGTTTGTTTGTTTGTTGTTTGTTTTCAGTCACAGGTACTTCACTCCTCCCATCAGGAAGACCAGGAACCACTGACAAACCAAGCGCCGCCTTCAGGTAACCCCGCCCACGCTGAAATGCCTCCTGATGGTCTCCCCCCATCCTTTAAACCAATCGCCGCCACCTGCACAACCCCAACAAGAGCGACGGACGATGGAAACCCACAGAGGAAGCCGGGGAGGGAGGAAGAAGAGACGGAAAGGAGAGGGACCGGTTCCAGATCCCTGATGCCTCTGCACCCTTCCAAGCTCCGCCTTTTCCTGTCTCATGCCGCCAACGGCTCCGCCCCGGCGTCCCCGAAGGCGAGGCCGTCGGAGCAGCTGTTGGATCGTGTCAACTCTCCGGGGCTGAAGGCGAAAGCCTTCGGCTCCGGATCGTCGCGTCTCCCCAAACCAAAGAGCTACTGAGGCGGCGAGCAATCAAACACGCCGACTGATTGACCGTACCCGTCCTGAATCCTAATATTGATATTCTGAGCTCAGATTAAACAAAAAAAGCACTACATTAGGAAGACTGATACCACCTGGATCTCGGAAGACGTCACGGATAAAAACTATGGATTTGTGCCTTTGATTTGGAAGACGCCGTCGTCTCACTGCGGATCGCTGGAACCGAACGTCATTTAAAGTCTAACCTTAGATGTTTCACATGCTGCTGCTGCTGCTTACATTTTAATCTTTATTGGTCCTCTGATGAGTTTCAGACTGACTGCGCCCAGCCTCTGTGAGAGGAAAAGTGTTAGCGTTAATTTAAATGAAGTCTCCGACTTGAAACCCGGCCTTCTTTGCATTCCATCGAAAGCACTCACTGTATCCCTGGATAACACTGGAGTTCTTGATCTGCAAACCGATATCTAATATCTTAAGTTCACCTTCAGCAACACACCCTCTCTGCTTTTTTAACCGCTGGTCCAGTTTTTTCTCCCTTTCCACAGCCACAGAAGAGACGGAACCCTTCTTCCTTCTGCCCGCTGTCTATCATCTCTTCGTTCAGACAACCTTGACATGAGGAAATACTTTTTCTTCTGAAGTTTTTGAGCCTCGAACTTTCTTCTTCTTCTTCTTCTTCTTGGTTAAATCCCCAGCTTCTCACAGGGAAAACATCCTTCCTAAAGGAAGAATTTGGATTTGTCTAGCTGTTGCTTTAAGTAAGATCTTCTTCCAAACTATTTGTTTAAGCTGCACTGCAAAAACACAAAATCTTACCAAGTCTTTTTTCTTTGTATGGTTTCTAGGGCAAATCTCTTGGCTATTTTTAATTTCAAGTGTATTATCTTAAAAGTAACTTTTAATAGCTTCTTTTTAAGTGTATACTTAACGTTGATGGAAAAATACTACTTCCATTGGCAGATCTTCAAACTTAAAAATGAGTGAAAAAAATCTTCCAATAGAACTAGTTTTTTTTTTTTTTATTAATATCAAGGAAGTATTGACTTAAAACAAGCTGCTGTCTTTCTGAAGGTCTTATTTTAGCCGAGCTAAGATATTTGCACTAGAAACTGGACAAAAATACTTGATATTTAATGTTTTTTTTGCTGTGTGGAGATAGTTTTTTTCTCTTTCGCTTTAGAACGCCATTCTGGGATCTTTTTCTCTCTCGCACTATGGCCGTTCTGTGACATTTCTATTAAAGTATTTGTTCTCAATCCTTCTCCAAGCAATGTTTGATCCAAGCTCTGAACTGAAGGATCTAAATCCTTACAGGAGTTATCTTATGGTTAACATTCAGCAGAGGAGCTGCCGTTTGTTTCACCATCTTTTTTTTTTGTTCCTCAAACGAATCCTGACATTTGGGCCTCGTTTTGCCGTCCGAAACAGCTTTCAGCCGGAATGTCACATTTCCACGGCGCCCGATCTGAAACCGGGACACGTTTCCAGAACCGTTCCTAACATTTTGCTAAGTCGAGGAGTTATTCACTCGCCTGGATTCCTTCAGGAAGTTTGAACCCAGTGACATTTTCGCTCCGCCGATGCCTCAAACCCACCAGTAAGATCCTGTGACATCTGTATCGGCGAATATCTGTCAGCTCTGCCTGCTTTCACATTAAACGGCTCTGGAATAAAATATGCAACACCGTTAGGAAAAAAAAAACAAACGGACACAGAAATATGCAAACTGGCTTCGCTTCAACGCAACGACTCTAAGTCACAGATGCTGGTGAGTTTTCAGGAAAGCGATGATTTTTTTTATATACGACTGGATGATTCCATCGTTTAGCTTAAAGCTTTAATGAGAAAAAGAAAGTTTCTGGGTTTTTGACTGGTGGGAATAAATGAAACTAATTAGATGTCATTCTCTGAGATCATAAACTCCTAAAATCTGATGCTTTTCATTTTCTGTGGAAAAAAAGGTTTGTTTTAGTCAAATTCTTTTTTTTGTTTGTTTGTTTGTTTTGTCTTTGACCTTTTAAACATCCAGCTCACCACAGAAAATACAAGTTTTTAATGTTTTCTCTGAAAACTAAAAAGCTCTCCCTTTCATAAATACAGTAAAAGTTGATAAAGAGTAAACTTTTCTCTAAAGAATCTGAAATCAGTGAAGGATGATTCTGTCGGGAGTGAAATAATTGATCCCGATGCCAAAAAATAGCATTAATAATAAATAAATGCAGGAGCCATTGCATCCATAGAATAAATGCAAAATAATTTGGTTCTGTTTTAGATTTTTAAGCATGAGCGAGAATCTTCAACTTGGATTCCTAATTTCAGCATTTTTATCAAATATATTAATATTGCACTTAGGTTTACAAGAGTCTGTTTGAGTTAATTTAGCTACGCAAAGCTAGCGCTGACTGTAGCACACCTGTTTTCAAAGACGGCTGTCGCAAAGCCAAAAATATTTTAATTTTTAAGTACGTGATATAGAAATTCAAACAAAACTCAGTCAGCATGAAGAGCGATCGACAGTTTGGATCTCATCCGGTCAAACTTTGTGTACGTTTCTACAGAATGAAGAGAGGATAAATGTTTAAGTCAACTGCATCTCTGAGTTTTAGCATTGACATCGACATTGAAACCACCTCTATTATACATATGATCGTGTTTTCAGAACAGGAAGCATTGATAAAACAAAAAGCTGGCGCGTTTTGTCATATTTCATCAAACCAACAGAGATCCAGTTGTGCGTTTTTTTATTTTCTTCCTCTTGTCGTTTTGTTTCCAGGCTAAACACAGATGTTTATGGCGGAGTGCTCACCTGCCTCGTGACTCTCTGACCGCCTCTCTCGTCCTCCTCCCTCCCTCGCACCTCGCCCGCTGTATTAGTATTATTATTATTTTTTTTCTTTTTAGTACCAGCTGTTAGTCCAGTAGTGGAACGGCATCTTCTGCCCAGGTGTAGCAGTTATGGCTTGTTGCCATGGCAGCGCAGATCCGCAGCAGCATCCGTGTGGAATTGCAGCACATCCTCGTGTTTCTTTTGTTGTTCCCTGTTAAATGAATCATCACACATACACGGTTAAAACCCGCGGGTGTTTGGGCGGGTTGCTTATTTTTTTTTTTTTCTCCCCAAATTCCATCTTCCACTGGATTGGAAAAATACACATCAAAGTAAATGCACACCAAAGTTTTTCAGTTCCAAAATGTTTTGTCTGATTTTTATTTTATTTTTTTCTTGAAAATGCTATAGAAAACAAGGAGATCCTTGTTAAAAGTTTCTACATTTCATTCCACTTTCCGGGTGTTCAGGCTCCACCTGCGCCCTTCTGACCTTGGTACGCTTTGTCGTTAAAGCGGGGGAAGGTTCGGACATGCGGCTGCTGCTAATGAGTTCTTATCTGAAGCTCAGAGAGCACAGGCAGGATTTCGGGAGTGATAAAAAAAAAAAAAAAAAAAAAAAAAAAACGCAAGCAGATTAACAGTTTCTTAGCGAAGGCTTACACTGGATTAGGCAGGTGAATATTCACACAAGCTGTGACGACTGAGAGCTGGATTAAACCTGAAGGTCCTTTCATCTTAGGGAGATTCCTTCACGATGAGGAGTTGCCTCATCGGCGGTGTCCAGCCAAACACGGCCAAGCTGCTCGCCACCAACGCTCTGCTGTTTTTAAAAACGATTTCAGCTTCTGTAATTTATTTATTTATTTATTTATCTATTTTTTTTTTTTCCCTGAACTTTTTGGGAAAAGTCTGGAAATTTGCGTGAGCGTGAACTCAGACAATCAAACCTGACAAGGTAAACATTTTGCACACAAACATAAAGTATTCGACCCTTGGAAAAACTGACGTCCTGAATATTTAGTCGTCCAACCAATAATTGATTAACTCTTTTTCCTTTCCATTGAATCGACTTAGTGAAATCAACCGTAACTTATAAAATCTTTTGTCATTTGTCCTTTTTTTTAAATGATTTCTACAATAAAATGTTGAAATCATGGTGATGTTGTTGGGTGTTGACAATAACTGAACCTCCTGAGGGAAAAACGTCAGTTTCTTGTTGTTTTCCATCTTGTCCCAAACTCTTCAACTCTCCTTAGTTTATCCTCAACCAATTTCACCGCTCTTTACTTGAAAATGTTTTCTTTGCTTCATCTTTTATGGTTGTAAATTGACTGAAGACTTTATATATTAAGCTGAATACATTAAATTTCTTTGTGTGGTACGAGTTTTATTTTTGTTGTTTTTTTGGGGGGTTTTTTTTTTACCAGACACATCTCTGAGCACCAACGTTTTGTGACGTATGTCCTACATATTTGTCCCTAATAATTTATTAAAACAAGTGTCTTGATTTCATCTCCGTTCGAAACCCAGACATTTTGACAGCAAAACGTCAAATCTTTTTTGTGTGTGTGTGTGAACTTTCACTAAAAATGCTGCTGATCAACAAACATCCCAAGTGTAGATAAACTGGCGAAACCTGGAAATCGCTTCCTTGTCCCTCTTCCTCTGACAGCTTGGAAATGTTTGTCTTTGTCCTGTTTTCACACTCTGGACATCTCAAATCAGAACCTGGGGTAGATTTCACTCTTTAATCTTCACATTTTCCAAATAAACTGGAGGAACTAAGAAATAAAAGAAATAAAAAGGCTCTCTGCCTGACGGAGTTCTCCGGATGTGTCGGTGTTGTGCGGGTTTCTAGAATAAGCTTACATTGCAGGTGAACGCATGTCTGTATATTTCACTGTAAATTATTAACGGAAGTTCAACATGTTAATGTGCGTTATGTGTATCCATGATATTAACTGCATTGTGTGTGTTTTTTGTTTTGTTTTCTGCTGTAATCCCTCTGTGGGAATGCTTTAGTTTGGATAACTTGAAGGAAAAGCATCCAGCCATTTCATGTCACTTTATTTTTTTTTATTTTTTTGGTGCAATATCTGCTGCAGTGTTTTTGCTTTTTGCTTTTGCTTCACTGTAATATTCATTATGTCTGAATGATGAGCTTGTAAAAAATCTAAAAAAAAACAACTAAGAAAGCACTTTATTTAACATGAGGCAACACTGGACTTGTCCAAACTGCTCTATTATTTAACTTTGTGTGTTGTCAAATAAATACTGCGTTCATGTCGCACAGTAATAATGATTTCACTCTTGAACATTTTTGTTTCATTTTACTTTCATTATTTAAGCTTTACACCTGTAATTCCATAGCTGCGAAACAAGATTACAGATGAAGATACAAATATCCACTTTTTTTTCAGTTTATTTGTATAATTATAGGTGATTTGCTCATTTTACTCTTGTCAGAGATTAACTGAAATTTGTTGAAAACTCATTTTAATGTAAATCCATATATTTATTTCAGATTAATAATATTAAAACAGGCGACATTTTCTATTTAAACTGAGGCACGTGATAAATTTTGCACAGTTGTTTTGTCCTCGGTTTGTAAAGTCTGACTTGTTGAAGGTTAGTTTGGAACAGAGTCAAAGTGCTCAAACTTTGGGAGACTTTCGTTGGTCTTGAGTTTTTTTCTCTGGTTTCCCACTGGACCTGAATGCAGCATTAAAGCTTTCCTGTTGGTACTGCTGTTTGAAGCTTCGGTCAGACTCTGTGCCTCTGAACAGTTGTAGTTTAACACTCTGGGTACTATGGATGTTCTGTGAGTTTGCAAATGTTCTCTGTTCACCGTAAACCAAATCAAACACAAGTGATAGTTTAAAAGAAAAAAGCTTGTATTCCTGTTTTATTTGGTCATCTCACTCCTCTGCCTCTCATCACTGATTATGGTTCTCTTCTGTCACTGGCTGAGGCGATTTGAATGCTGCTGAAATAAAGACTCACAAAAATCAAAGCTTGTCCATCTCATTCATCTCAATGGGTAATCATGAATCAATAAAAGCAAACTGTACCACAGCCAACCACCAGGGGGCAACATGAAGTCCTCAACTCGATGATTGTATGGGGTCAAGTCCACAAGGGTTTTTACTGCATCTTTACAGAAATGTTTAGTTTAATATATATAAAGTAAAAGATGAGAGAAAGTAACTGAGTGAATGCCAGCAGACTTGGAGAATAACCTGAAGACATTAAGGAGCATTACTGGTGTTTGATTGGTGGCAGTATCGCTCAGTTCTCTATGTGTAGTTAGCATTTTGGTAGCCGGTGATGCTAATGTCAAACTTAAGTTTATCCCACTAAACATTTGGCCCCCAATCAGTGTTATTTGTATCTATAGTTGAAGTTATCAATAAGCACCCAGAAGGTAGATAAAATAAAACTCAAATATTTTGCTTTTGTTGATGGAACAATTTCCTTCTTCAACTGCTAATTTCTTTTCAGTCTTATTTTAATTTCTATTCCTACACAGCGTATCCCCGAAAAAAGCAGAGGGTTCTTTCTGTATTAGGAAAAATTTGAAGATAATACAGTGATTTATTTATTTTTTTTTAATTAAAGTGCATATTTCATTATTTCTGCAATGTTTCCAATATGATTGGATCGGGGGTCATGATGGCTGATTTCCAACCCATGAAAGTCAAGAACATGTAAAAAAGCAACTAAAGAAACTGAGCTCAAGGGAGCGCAGAGTTGAAACAAATATGACTTTGCAAACAAATTCTGCTGTTGAGCACCAACACATAACGCATTGTTAAAATATTGTGTCACTTCATGCAAACTCTTGGCCCCAAAGTGATAAGTGAAAATACTCAACCATTCCATAGTTCACTTTGCTCAGACACTGAGGAAAGCATGGGTAAAAAATGCTGGGACAAACACACACAGGAAGCTGAAAACAGTTGAAACAAACGGATGCGGAAAATAACAAATGGTAAAGCTGGCTGTCAGACATTGTGCTTCTATGTTTTGCTGTTTTTGCTCTAGCTGCAGAGAAGTAAATGCCCCCTAACCGGTTCATTGTTTCTCTCTGCTTCCGTCGGCGAGGCTTTGAAATAAACTGAATGAAGCACGAAAAACAGTGATGAACTGTTTGTATCTCTGCTGCAGAGCTGAGAAGCAATATTTAACTTCCAGTCAGGTTCCTCCGGAGCAGAGCAGAGTGGATGCAGGTAAAAGTGGGGAGGCTTCTCTCCTCGTTATTTTCCCACACAGTTGGATTTTTTCCACCCAGCCAGTTCCTGCCGCTGAAGATTACAACCTCAAAAAGACAAGACAGATCCTGAGGATCGCACATGCAACAGGCTCTTCTAAGACCAAGGTCAAAGGTCAGCACAAAAGCAAAGACGCCTTCTGACTGGCTTTTTAAAATTTTAACTCAGACGCTGCTGTCTAACTTGTTACAATAGCTGGAATGATAAGGGCCTATGGCTTTGAGGCAAATCATTTTCAAAGCTTGCCCTCACTTTAAGTTTCACCTGACCCATCAATCGTAATTTTAACAGAAGATTTTATTTTTTATTTTTTTGAAGATCATCTGGTTCTGTTGGTTTTGAAGCTAGAGAAAAAGCATCTATTTTAGGAGTAAGGCAAGACGGAGTCCTATGGTACTCCTTTGATGTGGTAGCAATTAAATAAAATCGAAAAACGAAACTCAGAAGTTGCATCTTTGGTCCAGATTCCAACCCTCACCTGCTGACATTCGAATTATGAGAGACATACGTGTTCTTCATTGCACAGAGAACTGGGACACGACATCAGTGAATACTGAATAAACATGTACTTAAAATGAACCAATGAAAATTTGAAGATGCCAGAGAGGACATTTACATAATGAATAATTCTGCAATTCTTCCTTGAAATTGAAGCAGTGACATTAAGTGTATTTTGATTAAACTTCCAATCAATTGCAATAACAACAAAAAAATGGAAGGAGTAACTTTAAGTTCACCTCTCAAAGGTTCACCAAAAAGAAAAAGAAATAAATCAAAAGTTTTGAGTGGCCTAGTCAAAGTACGGCCTTAAATTTGAGCATATTGTTGTGACATGACCTTAGAAAGTCAATTTAAGACTCTCATCTCCGGTGTGATGGTGGAGTTGCATGAGAAAGTCTTTCCATCATTAAAAAAAGAGCATGTGCTGCTTTTCTGATTCCATGACCTGTCTACCCTACCCAGACAAAATGTTGCGTTCAAGTGTTCAAATTGTCATGAAATGAAAGCGAAAACGTGCGTCCAATTATCTTCATCCTCATCCTCACTATTAATAAGATTCTGGCAATCCTGAATTTGGATAGCTCCTCCAGCACCTCGTAAGTAAATGGGGTTTTAATGAATACTGTTCGGTTGTTTCGGCACATTGTGAGGTCAGTACAGCTACAGTATTAAACCGGTTTAATTTAATTATTAGTGAGTGTTGATTAAAAATGCAGGACTGCGAGCGTCCTGAGGTTGTTTTTATGGGACAAAACAACAGAAATTCTTTATAAAAAAAAGTGAAAGTGGCTGCATATCTCCTCATATCTCATGTTCTGCCTTCCTGTTTATCTCTTCTCCTCCCTCCATTTTATCTTTTAAGTTCTACCTGTGGAGGCGGGCTAATCACAGATGGACTTTTTCCGTGTCATTAACGTGAAGGTAAGCAGTGAGGCTCACCGCAGTGCTAGCTAATTCGCAAACATAAAAACGTGTGTGCGTGTTTTATTAGTGGTTTGACCCGTAGGTTTAAAAAGAGATAAAAACCTGCGACGACTAAAATGTAACGGTCAATTATTTTGGCAGAATAAAAATAAAGAAACTGAGCAAAGAAGTTTTGTGATGCCTGAATGTGTACAGTCACTTGGAAATTACAGTTCCCCGAACTTTTCCACATTTTGACATGTTGCAACCAGAAATGTCTTTTTCTTTCGTTGCTCGCACGTTATTTGAAAGGTCAATTCAAAGTGGGGAATAATTGTAAAATGTACGAAAAGTGGTACTTGGTACTCTAAAATGTTTTTTAAAATAAAAATTCGGAAGTGTGTTGTAGCACACACTGTCGTAGCACTTTTACGTAACAATCAACCTAAACCTGCGTGTACCTCAGTCTCAGTAAAAATCAATTTCTGTGGGGTTCCTTTTCTTTTTCTTTTTTTATTCATACGTCAGCGAACAAAAAGTATCGCAAAGACTTAGAAACACAGCAGATGGGTCAGGGATAAATAATATCTTATGAAAGAGTCGCAAGAATGTGAAAATCTAGTTTTCCTTTCGCTTCTTCGTTTTGTCTAAGCGTCTCGTAACATGATAAAATACAAACTACATTGCCACCTGGTGGAGGAAATTATGATGACAACTGAAATAGCAAGTCCAGGTAAGGTCATATCCACACGGATTGCTTTTGCCTCTAACTTCGGAAGCATATCAAAACAGTTTTTTGAAATAATCTCAAATAGCTGCTGACATTACTGGGAGCACAGAAAAATTGTTTCCAGTTGGCAAAGCAAGGAGCAGCTGAATGAAGCCATTAAATGCCATTTACATGCAGCACATATCCACTTCCTGAAACTGCAGGCTTTCATTGTTTCACTCACAGTTTGTTCTTTAAACCCAGCGTTGCTGAGCCGTGACATGTGCGAGCAGTGATGTGGAAGTTTATAGTGTTGTTGTGATCGTTGAGAGTCACAGAGGGCAATAATATCAGCGAATACATCAGCTGAAAGAGCAATACGGGAGATAAAAAGTGGCAGAAAGCAGGAGGTGGAAAGGACGCAAAACCTATTTGATGGAAAAACAAGCGGAAGTGAAAAACAAAAGTTTGTCCAAACCCGACTGAAGCGCAGACGGTTGTCAAATGAGTGTGCAGTCATCTGCTCGAGTGTTAAATATTAGGTTACTGATAAATCTTCAGCTCCCTGATGGTTAAAAATTTTAAAAATGCACAGTTTAAGTTCCTTCTTTCCTTGATATATCCCCCAGGAAAATTATTGTTTGCAACAAGGAAATTCTAGACTTAAGAAAGGCTTTCCTCTGTGCAATATAGACAAAGTAACTATATTTGATTTCCTTTGTCTCTCTACTTTTTCGCAGCTCGTTCATTGCCTTTCACATATAATAAAAACATCTTCACCTTTCAGCGCTTCCCTCTGTTAGAGTTAAGAAATAAACTGCTACATTACAGACAAACTTCCTTTAGTACCTTCCAAATCCCTTTTTAAACTCATGTTCTAATAGGGTCACAGAGAGTTGCTCAGGAAATTGAAAGCATATTGACGATTATGGTACAGAACCCATTAAATATGACCTTTTACACCTTTTCACCTCCTGTAGGCGCTAGCGGTCAATAACAGCCCACACCACTAGAGATTAAAGCTCAGTTTCTGGCCTTAGGCCAGCAGCTGGAATTGCTTTGACTAACCCTGATTAAGTTTCTCTAATACCTCAACATGAGAAGCAACATTATTGGTTTTCTAATTTAATATCTAAAATTTATGATTTGTATTATATCTGTAAAATGACTGTTATGTGTATTATGACTGTGGGAGAGAGCCTGGCTGCTTCTTTAATGTTTTATTTAGATTTAAATAGTGATTTAAAAATCTTTTCAACATGATAGTTTGGCTAATTCTCATCATAGTTTACAGGTTTTGCCGCTTTGAGTTCACTGTCATTATTTTAGTATTTAGACTGAATTGATATTGTTTATTTGTTTTATTTATTTGTATTTTTTCTCAACTGAACTGTAGAAATGGAATGAATGAAAAGTCCAAAAAAAGAAAAGAAAAAAAATATTAACTGACTATTTGTCTTGGTAGTTCACCTGGATTTTTTATTTTGTGCAATATTCTACATAATTAAAAAAAAAAGCTTACATGCACAATATGGAATTTTAATACAAACAAGCATGCTGTTTGTAAAAGATAGATGAACCTTTTTTTGTTTGTTGGTGAATATTTGAAAAGGTTGAAAATTCTAGTCATACATCATTTCTCATTATGAAGAAGTAAACTCTCCCATTTTGTTTGTTTGTGCTTTAATGCAGCACGTTGGAGCAGATGTGTCAACTTTGGAGGATTAGATCCTGTGGAGGAAACCTAACAAGCATTTTAAAGACTGTTTGTTTAATGAAAGTGGACTAAAGAACAACTGAACCCGAGTAAAGGTAAAGAACCTTATTCATGTTTGCGTCATGCTTAAATGTTGACTTGATTTACAATTGAGCTCATAAGTAAGTTTTAGACTTTCCTAAACTGATCTGTGGTATATCGGCCTGGATGGTTGAACACAAAACTAAAGCTTACAAAATAAGAGCTGGATGGATGCTCTTCTTTTGTGGTTTGATGCATCAGAGGATGCTGATTGATGTCTCCTTTGGCGAAGAAGCTTCTTTCCCTTTGTGAACCAGTTCCCTGAAAGCAGCCAGAAACCTGCTGCGTAAGATGAGTGCTTCCTGTTTGTTGCAGATGAAGAACAGTCGTTATAATCTGCAGTTTTGTGCGTGTGTGCGTGCGTGTGTTTCATCCTGTTTTTGCCTCTCAACTGTTTGCACGTTGCTTTGTCACGAGTGCCTCCGTCTGAAGTGTGAAATAGCTGTGCTGTTTGTGTCCTCGGTTTGTCCTCCTCTTACGTTTGGCACTTTATTTTTTAACACTTATGTGGAAAATGGGAGGTGTGTCTGTGTGAGGCTCGCAGCTGAGACTGCATGTGTTCAGTTTATTGTAAGAGCACAGCCTGTGATTTACATTTAGATGGCTGTTGTCGCTGCTCGGTGTGACACCAGTGGTGATGGAAAACCTGCTGAGTTGCTGTACTCCAATGGGGTCATAGTTGGGTTTTTTTTTTTTTTTTGGATTATGCTAAGTTTGTTGTTTTCTCCAGATGATATTAAGGTTATTCTCAGAAAGCTGTAATGAAGAACGTCTGAACTTTTGACCTCACAGGACCTGGCTTTTAAGTATTTAAACAACTTAAGCAGTATTTCTTTTGAACTGAGAACAATTAGGCGCAAAATCGTAAACTTTCCTGGCAGATTTGGGTTTGAGATCAGGGAGATGGCAAGGAAACTTCTTTTAATCTCAAAGACATGGCGCTCATCCCCAAAGATACATTTTCAAGAAAAACTGGAAATGGCTACTCAGCAACAACAAGATGGGTTTCATTTGTTGACTGATTATTTAGAAGGGCAGAAACGATTTTCACCATGCCTAACAATTTTCAAGCAAACGTATCGGTTAAATCAAAAAGACGCTTAAATTTAAATCTGCCAGGCGTATAAATAATTCTGCACAAACATAAACTTGTACGATTCATCACTACATATTTATTTGGCCCACATAGACTTGACTTTGTGTAACTTTTAGAAAGTTCTAACATCGGTATGTTTTTTTTGGTTGTTTTTATACCACATGTAACCTAAGCAACTTCACTTCCTGGTTTAACAGTTTTGTATTCACTCTGAATGGATTTGAGTTCTATAGAGACCATAATTAGTTAATGCCGTAACTATTCAAGTTATGAAAGAACATTTGATCTACTCGTGGTTACTGTTAGTCTGCGGACATGAGGTTTAGTGAAGAAGAAGAAGGGAAAAAATGGTTCTCAAGAGGAAACTGATCAGTTTTTAAGAAGAGACTGGCTCATGTGTTTGTAGAATGTTGCAGATTTTTCCGTGTAATAGATAAGAAGTGAAACATATTCAGAAACCCTCAGTAGAGTTCTCTAAACTTGTTTTATGATTAGCATTTTGTGTGTGTGTGTGAGTTGTCGGTCACTGCCTCAGGGAAGGTTGCCTGACTCTCGGCATAAGTAATCACATCTTTATGTACGTGTCCTCTACTGTGTTTACACATTTCTACACTGTTCATTCCAAGCGTGTGTGTGTGTGGTAATGAATTTCCAGTTTCTATGACTTATTCACATTGAACCTTCTGTCAGGCAATCTCCATTTTATTATTATTATTATTTTTTTTTTTTGCTTGAATCTTTCCTTTAACAACCTCACGTGGTGAGTTGATGGAAGAAGTGTGTGAATGTGTGTTTGCGTCCGCAGCTGAAGCCAATCATGAAGGCAATCTTTGGTGCCTGTCGTCCCATCAGAGCGACTATATAAAAAGCGAGGCGGCTGTAAATCGGAATGACGGATTTAAGAGCTGCCGCTGCTGATTTTTTTTTTTTTTTAGTGTCACCGTCTTTGTTTTTGGGCGCTGCAGTTCCCACACCCGGGGCTCACAAACGATATTACCCTCATTATTATCTGGTTGTTTCTGATTATGTCCTCGTTGTTGCGTCCTCATTCCTCTTCATTTGCATCCTGCGCGCCTGCAGAACGGACACGCTGCGGACAAGCCCAGTTTTACTCAGGGTAGTGTTTCAGTCCCTTTTTTTTTTTTTTTTTTTTAATCATACGAGGTGAGGTTTAATTTTCATGGACTCTTTTCACTCTCCACCAGAACTTTTTGAATGAAATTCCAGCTAAAAAAATGGGTAGTAAGATGTTTTATCTTTATCAAGATATGAAGTTCCTTACCCTGCTGCCAAAAATAACCCAAAACACTGTTTAAAGTCGCAGTAACATAGATTTGGCAGACCAAATGACAAAAAAAAACAAAAACAACTTACGCCTTTGAGGGCCGTGTTCATGAAAAATAACAGTGGTTCAAAATAATGAATTGGTGTGTTGTAATTTTGTCCCAATTTTATGTGAAGTTAAAGTTAATTCTTAGTAATATTCTATTGCATAAAAACTTGGAGTGCCACTGTTTCAATACCAAGTGGAGTCAAGGTTTTTTCATCTGCTCACTAACTAACTAGTATGAGGTTATGACTTGAGTTTAAGACGTTGACTTGAATCTCGCTTAAGAAGTACCATAGCTGAATATACTCACTTAACAGAAAACTTACTTTGCATTGAAAATTGTCTTTTTTTTCATTCATTATCCTGCTTAACAGAAAAATATTGAAGAATCTCAAAGGTTGATGCGATAAAGCAATATTACCGCCCCGCTGAAGCTGTTTGGCAATTACTGCGGCGCATTAAAACCGTTTGACGTTCTGAAAAAGGCCAGAGCTTCCTATTGTGTCCGGTTGGTGGGTTTCGTTTGATCCCTGAAAAAAAAGGGAGCTTGAATTTAATGCAGTTGTCTCAAAATGTCGCAGTTACATCCAGGTTAATTAGGTGTTTGAATGAGAAGCAGAAAGAAGAAGAAGAAAAAAAAACACATCGTAGGCGACATTTTTCAGAATAAATCTTCACTCTGACATCTCACTCTGTTCTTGTCGTGTCCTGAGGGACTTGTGATGCTGAACGGGTGCCGAGTGAGAGTCAGAGAAGCAGAAACAAGGGACAGTTACAGAGAAATGAGCAGAATCAGAACAGGTGCAGGATCATTTTAGATTCTGCAGCTGGTTGGATGAATCCGAGGTGGTAAATAAAGACACGGCGGAGGCCGTGAAGACATAATCTGTCTTCAGCAGATGTGATTATCTTGGGTATTTACTGTCAACCTGCAGCGAAGGGGATGCGCAATAATCTGTGGTCAGGGAAAATTGAGGTTTGATATCTGCATCGTGACTAAGGGAGACAGATGTGAGCTTTTACACGCTGACGCTGGGACACAAATTGGCTTCAAAATGAGAACCTCAGACGAACATACCGTACAGGTGGAGGGAAGAAAAATCCCAGTGTGGGAGTGACTTCATGATGTAAAGTGCTTTAATGGGTTTTATGGAAATCGGTGAGGCACACGGTGACTCAGCAAGTGACTGAACACAAATGCGGCTTTTGTTTCATTAGAAAACAAATAGTCTTACAGGGGGAGCAGGATGTAAAATCGACTCCTCCTCTCCTTTACCACAAACATACCCAGAGTATTGTTTGATTCATTCACGTATGTTTGAGAAATCCTTGAATCTCCCGTGGCAACCATTCAGGAGAACAAAAATGGAGCTCTGCATTTGGTGTTTATATTCCAGAGTTTGCTTCTATTGCCATCTGAGGAAATGTACCACTCCTGGTCAAAAACAACCAGTCAGAGCCAGGAGATAGGTCTTAACACTTTCAGTCACTTTGTGTGCTAACTTATGGTGACAGAAAGACAGTTTATTTGCAATCATCGGTGGCCATGCTAACTAGCCTGAGCATTTGTGGTAATCTCCGTTGTGGTGAATCATTTGTAGCCTAGCAGAGAGCAAGGGGGAGTGTCCAAGCAACATGTACAAAAGCATGATTTACAGTGCTGAGACCCTCCTCCTCACTCTGATTGGTTGTTTCTGACCACATGTATTTCTCCAGATACCACTGGGAGAAGGCAGTTTTTTTTGTTTTGTTTTTAACCAGATTATCTGTGTCATACCATACTGTCACAACATAGTTTTATCAAATACATAAAAAACATATATATTTTTTTTTATAAAAGTTACATAACAGATGGAGCACATATTTTTACATTGGAGGTCTTCATGGAGATTCAGATGGTGTTTAATTTTTCAAAAATCTGAAGTCTTATTAAGAAGCAAATTTTCATTCAGTGGCAGAGGGAGGTGGACACACTGAGAGGATAAGATCATTTATTTGTCTCCCATGGAAAGAATTTGTCTTAGAAGAGGGGACAAGGCTGCACAAGGACAGCAATTATTTAAACAAAGTCAATTATGACAAATGCATAAAAGTAGCACAAAATATTAAATAGAACTGTGCACAGAATCGTATCTTAATAGTCAATATGAATCTTGTGGCAAACTGTGGATCTTGTTCTTACGGAGTGCAGCAAGTTTAACGTGGATAGTAGAACTCTCTTTTCAATGATGTTCAGTATGAATTAAAACCTTACTTGATTTAACATTACAATTGCAAGGAGTGCATAAAGCCCTTATGGCGTTTGTTTTTGATACAAATCTGTGATCAAGTCATGTAGTACCCCATCTCCACCAGCGAGAGGCAGTAATGCGCTAGTTGGTGCACAATCTGCCGGAAATGGCAAAGGAAAAGGAAGAAGGAAAAACACCAAGAAGAAGAACTTCGCGCATCTACTGAGCTATCTACTCAGTGCAGTCCTTTTTGGATAAATAAATAAAAATGAGAAGAAAATGTATTTTCGGATGCCCAGGAGACTACCCTCTTTTTAAACTTCCCAAAGATGAGACGGTTCTTAAGCAATGGCTGGACTTCATTATTCAAAATAACACTCCGACGAAAAAAAATTGGCATATCTGTGCGAGGCACTTTACCGATGACAGCTTTCTAAACAAAAGAGAATTTGACAGTGGACTAATAACAAGATTATCACTAAAAGACGACGCAATTCCAACGCTCAGAAGTGCCCATACACCGTTGGCGTCTGCTCAAGTAAGTTGAAAAGCAACTAATTGTTTTTGTTAGCTTCATTGTTGTTTGGTGTATGTATGATCGGTTAGCATTCATAATATTATATTATTGTTACAATCTGTGTCCATTAGCTGGCTTACACTACACAGCTAAGAATGCCATATTCTGCCACGTTTGTGGTGTATTTTCATTTACAGAAGCTAAACATGATATAAAAAGCCAGTCAGAAGTTTTTCTACATTTGTAGAGAAACTGTTAGCTAGCTGCTGAGTCACCTCCAGTAGATACTGAATTTATATAATCCCTCTGTGAGAGCTCATGTTTGGAGAATATACATGACGCTTGATTGGCTTGCGAACTTTCAAAAGTCTCATCCTCCTCCTTCAAGCTTCATTAGTCTGTTGTCACATACTTCCTGGTTCTTGCGCAGACGTCACACAGCAAACCAATCTAGAGCGAGGCTGAATAAATTTAGAGTAGGTGTGCACCGATAACCTTTTATTTAATTTTTTTATTTTGTCTGAAATGTCTCTAAATATAGCAAGAAAGTTGCTGAGTTGGTAGCAGTCAGGTGACTATTGTTAATTGCAAACCAGATGTGACTTGGTAGGCCGGTCTGTCAGTCAAACCTCTCTAACTGGGTAGCAAACGAGGACAGTGGTTGACTTTTAGACCTTTACTGGGGCAGATAAGATCATTCACATGTTTGTATTTGGCCGATCACAGATCTCCCAGAAGTAAAGAAATCAGCTGCAAATCGGTGCACCCCTAATTTGGAGAAAACGAAATTAAATGGGCAGATTAAACAAATAAGAACTCCGACTTTAAAAGTTTGAATTTAGCCGATTAAATGTTTGTAAACATCAAAGGTGAAAAAGTAAGTCAGCAATTAATTATCGGCATATCTTTCAACCTCTTGAGTTGCACAGAAATACAACAATTAAATATTGATCCTTAAACTACTAATTTAAGTAGTTTAAAGATCTAGGAATTACTGGCCACAGACGCCGGTAATTTACTATTGCCACTGTTAATGGAGATTTTATAATGTAGAATATTAATGAAGTCATTGGATGCTACAGTGTGAAATATGTTTACCAGTAATGACTAAGCATTTTTCTTTGTACCTTTTTTCCACTTTCTAATATGTTTTTTGCAAAACATGGAAGATGTCCACGATAACAGTGAACTTATAACATTGCACTCAAATGCTAGTAACATCCAACCTGTATAGTTTATGAAGTAATAATAATATCTATTAAAATCGAACTGATCATTCTTGATGTTTTGACTTCATTCTGCCCAAATTTTATTATTTGTTTTGACATTTTAATTCCAAGGGACTACCTCAAATTAAACAAACTCGACCGCCTGGTTCCACAAACTCGGCATTGGAACACACTGAATGTTTCCTTAGCACAAGATCGGTGTCTACGCAGTTGTCAGCTGGAACGTTGAGGTTACAACACTACAGGAGTAAAGGTAAATATGGTGTTTACTTCAAAGTTATTGTATGTGTCACACATTTCAATTGTAGTTCTGCACAGGTGTACAAGCTACTGTTCACACTGCGAGCAGAGGCACAGACGCCAAGCAGTCTTTACCGCACTTCCTGTCAACACCTGTGAAATCTGCACTTGGCGCACAATCGAAACGACCTCGCCTGGAAGTTGGGAAGGAAGAGGACGATGACTTCAGGATCTCCAGTCCTGCATCTCAGGATTCAAACTATTACCCAGGAGATACAGTCACAAACTTCTCTGACCTGATGTAAGATTATTTTCTTCTTACATTTGATCTTTTTTGTATTTAATGTGATTATTTAATTCATTTAACATGATTCTATTTTTCTTTGAACAGTGACATGGAGTCTCCTTCTGAGTTAGAAGAAGATGCAGAATACATTGTATCTGAAAGCGCTCTCAGGGAGATTTTTGAGAACTGCCCCGTCTGCGAGAGACACTGCATAGTACATCTGCGGAGATGTGGAACAGTTGTTGCTTTCAAGCAGGACTGTCCACATTGTTTTTTCACTCGGAAATGGCAGAGCCAGCCAACGTTGGAGGAAATTACCACAGAGTAATCCGGAGTTCTCAACGGCAGTGTATTTCAACGGAGCGGGGGGAATCGTATACAACATTTGAAAGGGTAGGTTTCATTATTACAGCATAACAGGGTTTCCTTCAGTTTATTGTAAGCCTGGTGGGCCACCAGGCTAACTATAGCTTATTTATTTAATTTGTTTTTAAATGTTTTAAAAAAAAATGTTTTAAGTCTTTTTAGTTGATATTAGTCTTCCAATCTTCCAATAAAACATAATTATCAAGAGATATTTTTAAATTTCCTGTCAACTTTAAACATTTTTTTTACTTAAAAACACGGTGGGTTGCTTGATGAATGACTGCCCGAGCGTCACAACCACCAGGCTTAGCAAGTTTTCTGGAGGAAACCTCGCACAAGTATCTAAATTACATGCTAAGCATAATTTCTGACATATTTTTCAAATTATGTTTTCTGTAGATAAGCTTTACGGTGCACCGGTGCGATACGCTTAGGAGGCAGAGGATGATGGGATGTCGAGATCTAATCCAGCTTTGCTTGGAAGCCAACATGGCTTCCGCAAGAACAACTACAACCCGAAATCTGTCTCCAAGGAATTGCCAGCACCAGCTCACAAAACTAAGATATGCCAGAAATCTGAAACGTCTGTAACTATAAGAAATTGTAAATATTATAACTATTAAGGATTGTAATAAATGTTTGTACATTTTAAAAGTTTTTTTCCCTATTTTCTGAAAACATGCTCTACCGCTTCTCCAGAGAAGTTCATTACCACTCTGTCTATGTTGTTGATATTTTGTAGGAAGTTTACTTGAAATCCAGGAAGGTATCTGATGCAATTTAGTTCTGCAGGCAGCTGATGAATCTTCCACACCTTACAAGAAAAATAATGTCAGTTTTTGTTTTTCCTGGAAAAAAAACAACAAAAAAAACCCTGACATTTTCTGCCAGGAACTGGTTAGACGTCCTTCTCATTCTGTCTAACCAAATAGGATTATACATTTGACAGAAAATACTAGATTAACTTGCATCAAATACAGTTCTAGGTAATTGACATACACTTTTCTAAGTAAATATGCTGACTAAAACTCTTGTTTTAGTCAGTTTTGAATGTTTTGAAATGTTCCTATCGGAGAAGAAGGGACACAGCTTTGGCATCTCTTTGCAGCAACCATGATGGAAAATATTTTTGCAAATAGAAACGCATTTCACTTTTTATCATTAAGGAATTCAATCAGAGACTTTAGTTCCGACAGGAAGAGAGTAAAATATGTAGAGTTTGTAAACTTTAGTTTGTGAATGACAACATTCACATATGTAATAAAATTATCCAGATCTTCAAATTCACAATTTACTGAAAAAGTACTGTAGTCGCCAACGTCTGTGAATTTAGCAAAAATATGGTTATGTAAATAAAGTGTGTTTCTTTGGCTTTGTTAGAGAGAATATTTGTGAGGACAGTTTGTAAATGGCATGTAGCATTGTTGTGCTGAAGTGGGATTGTTGGAAATACAGGAGGCTCTTAAAGAGGCAGCAACCCAATTTCAAGGTTTTAGATACAGCCATGACACCAAGTCAAATTTGTTTTTCATATAGACAGCATTGTCATCACTGAAGTTGACGTAGTTACTTGACTTTGGTATAGAACCACCTGGGAAACACACAATGCTGCCCCTTTAAATGTTCTTGTCTTCCTTCCAGCCTTGTTTTCCCATCTTCCCAATGCCTTCCACTTCAAAACGATCACGCGTCTTGTTGTTTCCGACCTCCGTGAGATCCAGTCTGAGCGTTGCACAATCAAACCTTTGATCACCTTCATCTTAGCTCGGAGCTGGTTGTTTTTGATCATGCAGCCGCAGAGCTCCTCCAACAAAGCCCCCTCTCTAATCACTGTAAATACTTATCCAATGAAACGCTGTAGCTGAAGCGTCTTCAAGGCCCGCGCTCTTGTTTGGATCATCGGCGTGGATTACGGCTCGCTGAGAGACGCTTGCATCAGATCCTCGCTGTTTGGGGGAAATAATAAAAAAAGAGAGAATGTGAACAAAGCCAACACTGCTAAGCCTTCTTTAAACCTACAGCGCTTAGCGGGTCTGAGATTTCATTTCAGGGAAGAAACGCACATGCAAATGTGTCTGCATGCGCTTCACAGCTGGGACGTCTTTTCAGCGGGAGACTCCAGACGCAAGTCTTGTTATTAATAAGGATGAACCTCCTATGAAACTCCCTCTCGACAACAAGAAGGAAGAAAAGCTAGTTCACACACTTTAAAGTCTACAGTCTCGACCTGGCTCTGAAGACTTTCTAACCTGATTGTACAACTGGAAAAGAAAGCAAAAGTGTGTTACTATTTGCTTGGCGTTCATTTAGATTAACAGTGCTGTTTAATAAGGGTTAGGGTTAGTTGATGTTGTAAATATAGCTGGAACACCAGAGTCACCACTTAATATTGCTATAGAAATGTATTGGTGAGAGGTATGAGAAGCATTTTTTTTTTAAAATTAACACTTTCAGTGTGGATTCTTTCTGTAGATAAAGTTGATGGTCAGATGAGAGACCGAGGTGTTGGTTCACAGTGAGGAATGTTTGGATGAGTGAAGTTGAGGTTTGCGAATCAATCAAGCTGCCAAACATGAAAATGATTATGCTAATACTTTTAGCCAAGCTAGACAGTTAGACGGTCCTTATTTTCATACGTGTCACACGCCGAGTTACAGGTGTCCAGCCCACATGGGCTTACAAGACACAATAAAAACAAACAGCTGGTCAGACATGAATATTCTTTTAAACATAGTGTCCTCTTTCTAAGGTGCCAGGCTTTCAAATTAAACCGTGCTAACTGAAACACAAAATACTTACAATGATGCATTTTATCCTCATCAGTTAAATAAAAGAAATCTAGGTAAACATCAAGTACTTTAGTAAATAAGTCATTTCTCAAACTCAAGTACAAAGGACAGTAAAACAAAAAGTGCACTTCACTCTCAATTTCCCCCAAGTCACACAAAGAACATCTTCGGTCGTCCTCTGGGACTGAACAAGTTGATCACAGGGCAGTGAACTGAATAAATTCACTGACTAAACTTCAATTCAACAGCTGCTACACAGTTAAAACTTAGACTCAACTGCAGGACTCTGACACCCAATCTGACACCCACTCGCACCCAAACTGGTTTGGAGAATGGACAAAGACGGTCAACATTTGCAGAATGCCTTTTCCAGAAACTAGACTGGAATTAAACCAGTTTAAATGAACTCTATCAATTCTGTCAAGACGACTGGTCACACACGATGCCCGGAAAACATATGGTGCAACTCATGATGCAATGCACCTTACTCAGGGATTTACTGAATATATATGTGTGTCGCATAGTAATTCCCAATGATGATGGAAACTTCTAGATTGACACGTTTGTCCACCGATGTTTATCGGTTATTAATGCCAGTAAAAGAAGCATTTCAACGGCCTTTGACAGTCTCTAGACCAGAAGCCAATTGAAAATCCTGACCTCAGTAATTGTAAACAAAGGCTTCTGTGTCAAATTAAGTTCTACACTTTACATGACATACTTGTCTCATGGAACAAAATTCAAATTACTATTTAAAAATCAAACGGTGTGAAGTTTCTGGATTTTCAAAGATATTTCACAGTTGTGGTGAAGCTAAAAATTACACGTTTCCATTCTTTTTAATTGGAAAAACTTAAAAAAAAAGAAAAGAAAATGATAGTATATGAAATACTTATTTTCCCCACCATAAATAACTTTTAAACCTGCCTGGTTTTGAGAAAATGGTCACTAGTTCATATTTCTTGTGTGCTATGATAACTCACAGAGCCCAACTGGTGTCGCTTTGCATTTGTGCAAATGTCAGGCTTGTGCCAGTTGGTGTTTGCTGCAGCTGAATATTCCAGTGAGCGGAGCCAGCGTTAAGGATTATACGTTTCCATCACTTTCATATTGTTCTGTTCAGCTTCAGAGGCTGAACACGGCCTCTAGAGGTTCCCTCGCCATTAGCATATAGAATTCTGATTTTCTCTCTCCGTGATGCAGCCATAAACATTGCATTACAATACACAGTTTGATGTTACCATCCTAAATGCAGGACTGACAAAAAAAAGAAAAAAAAAACACAGGTGGTGGAATAATCTGTATGCTAGCTGAATCAGAACAGCAAGAGGTGGGGGTGGGGAAAACGCATCTCACCCTGCCATGGATGTTTCTTTTTAGTTCTCATGGGAGCGGCGTGTTTCTGCAGGGCAGACGAGCTCCTCGTCTTAACAAGGAGATTGTGTGTGTTAGAAGTCAGCCTTCGTTTTCTGCTGGGTCTCAGAGATACGGGAGACTGCAGAACAGCTGAGAAGAGCTGCTAACCATGAAACCATGGCAACATCAAAACCTCAAACATGCTGCGGCAAAAAAAAGCGAAAAAAAAAAAAAAAAATTTCCAAAAGCGAAACAACACTCGCAGGCTCCCGGTGTTTTCATGTAATATACAAATGATGCTGCTGTTTTCTGTCTGTGAAAGCTGTTTACTCAGCTGCGTCTTTCTGTAGGTTTGCATTTTTCATGCAGTGAGACGTTTGTGTTGTACCAGACTGTATTTCTGGAGATAAAGAGGAAAAAAAAAAAACTGTGTTTTTGGAAACTAATCCTGCTTTAATGTGCCAAGAGCAGACAGAATATCACTTTACCACCTGAAGAAGGATGCACAGTTTTTTTTATTGACACCCAGATGAAGCAAAGATGAGACGCATAAACACATCTTAAGTTACCTGCAGTGACTTTTTATTTTTATTTTTGTTTGCATCTTTTTTTTTTTTTTTTTGGTTTGTCTAACTTGACAGGGTTCAGACTACATAAGGGCAGAGCCCCTTAGTAACAGATGTATGTACAGATCTATTGAACTGGAACCTATAAATGAGAATTGAAGATGTTTGAAATAAAGATTATATAGTTAGTAGGAATATAAGATTTGTTTGCAGAAGGCAGTGAAAACATGACCCACTAAAGAGCTTGTTGAATGTAGGCATAATCTGGACTTTGACTGTGTGAGGAAACCTCCTCGAAGACATTTTGTTCTCATTACACGCAGAGGCGAATTACCGGGGCTACCCTCTTTCCCAGCTAATGGTGGGTCCTCTTCGTAATGGTCTGGTTTGTCCGTTTAATTGGTCACTGGCTCACCACATTTATTGGTTCACATTAATTGTATCCAAGAGTCTGGTTACACTCTGCAGGGCAGCCAAAGCATTAACGCCAAGGTTTATGCCTCTAACAGTGACGTCGATAGGGGTAAGCCTTCACAATAAAAGCTTTCTCCAGGTATAAAGTGCTCTGAACTTTAAATTGCGTGAAGCTAATTAACAGCGAGCCGTCAAAGCCTCTCGACTCATAAACTGCCGGGTGCCTTGTGTGAGGCAATAATGCTGTTTATTACAGAAGACATTCTGTTTTATTATTAATCCTGTACCGACTCAGAACCTGAATCTTATTTCTTTTGAATTCAACTCAATTCAAACTTCAAAAATACTTTATTGATGCCAAAGGGAATTTCAAGTAATAGCATAAAGGTAGGCGAATTTGTGAACCATTCAAAATGTTAATTCAGACGATTCGGATGATTTACTTTTAATCTTGCTCCCTGCTTGTTAGAAAACTAGGAAAGCAAAATTGACACAAATTTCATGAGGCTAGGCCAAACTATAATCACAA